TATTATTTCGCTACATTTTTTGGTTGGCACTTTCTGCAAGGAAGAACTTTCCTCTTATCTAGTTGCTTACTTTCATTATAGAGTCGTGAATTTTTAGCTCAGTCAACAGTTCATAATCCATTCTTTCATTTTATTCTTCCATAATCATTTTATTGCTCACAGTTTCCTATATATTTAATCAAAGGAGCACCCTGCAAGTTGTCTCCTCTATCAGTTTTAAATGATCCCATCACTTTTTGAGGTCTCATCGTTTTCTGGCATAATAAGATGTTACAGTGTACCTAGTACTTTACCCCAGCCCTAGAATCAGTCATTTCACCAAAGTGGCCTAGTGCCTTTTAATGAGAAATCATTTTTAGAAACCAAAATTTGAGTACTAAAAGTGCTCATTACAACCAGGATATTGTTGCTTTTAAACATGCAATAAATGCACTTGTTCTAAGTTTGTTGCTGTTATTATTAAGTGCCGTCAAGTTGATTCTGACTCATAGTGACCCTACATACATTCCCCATGAATGACTGATGAGTGTGAACCACTGACCTTGTGGTTATCAGATTAGTGCTTAACCTAGAGTACCATACTAGGACTATGCATGTTGTTGTTATTGTTAAGTGTCATCTAATAGGTTCTGACTATTATATAGGGTTCCTATATAGGGTTCCTAAGGAGCAGCTAGCAGTCCTACAGTGCTACACCAGAACTCTTCAACCTGATAAACTTTTAATAAAATTACACACCCATGGTCAGTTCTCAGTCTTCATCATATCTAACCCATTAGTAACATTTGGTATGAATGAACCTGGAGGACATTATGCTGCATGAGATAAGTCAATCACAAAAAGACAAATATTGTATGAGACCACCATAGTAAAACCTCAAGATAAAATTTTCATTGTGAAAGAAACGTTCTTTGATGGTCAACAGGAAGGGAGAATAATTCAATGACTGGAAGGTAGACACATGTTAAATTGAGTGACAAGGAAGGAGATATACAAGAAAGGAGAGAGCAATATGCAAGAAGAAGAAGGTTAACAGAAATATGATGAACATAGGTGAAGAAACAGGAAGGTATGCAAGGGCTAAAGGGGACAGAGGTGAATAATACACAACCTTGAAACAACAGTGTTCTGTGTGCAAATCCATGGACAGAGACATAGGCTGAATGGATATGGGAGGAAGAGTGGGATATGTATATATATATATATGCCATAAATATCTAAGAGTTTGAAAGAGGATATCTGTGCATGGGTAATCACAGAGAAAGGAGCTCTGGTAGTGTAGTGGTTACGAATTGGGCTGCAAACCTCACGGTCAGCAGTTCGAAACTACCAGCTGTTCAGTGAGAGAAAGATGAGGCTTTCTGCTCTTGTAAAGATTTACAGCCTCGGAAACCCTGTACAGGGTTGCTATGAGTCAGAACTGATTCCACGGCACATCACAACAACAACAACAACAACAATCACAGAGAGGAAGTGCAATAACTGTTGTTATATGGAGGGGATTGCAATCATTGGGATGAAACAAGGCATATGATTTATTGAATGAAAAACTGATGTTCTTGTCTGTAAACCTTCACTCAATTCACAATAAATTAATTAACTTAAAAAGAGCATATCCTAAGAAACCCTGGGGAAGTTCTCTCTGTGGTAGAAGTTCTTTTAGTCAGAACCAACTCAATAGCACACAACAATAATCTTTATAGAAGCACTAAGTGAGTTTGAGGCACCAACCTTTCCATAAGAGATGAGCGCTTACCCATTGTGCTACGAGGACTCCTTCCTCTAACCCATTCTTCTCTCCAAAGCTCTGTATTTTATATCTCCATTTCCACTTGGCATCTTCAACTGCATTTCTAATAAGACTTCCAAATGCAACATGCTCAAAATTAAAATCCACTTCAGCCCTGCTTCACTTACAGCCTTCTCCATCTCAGGTGATGGCAGCTCCATTCTCTGTTATTTAGGTCAATCACTTGACAGCATCCAAATTATATTCTGAGACCCACACTTTGCCCACCTCCACTGCTGACCTCTCTATCCAACAGTCTCTCAACAGGTCTCACTGCCTCAAGCCTTGCTCCTACAATCTGTTCTCAGTACAGCAGCCAGGGTGCCTCTTTTACAATGGAAGTATTTTGGAGTCACCCCCATGCTCAAACCTTGTCATGGCCCCACATTTTACTCAGCCCAGCCCAAGTCTTTTTAGTCGTCAGCAGGGCCCTACATAATTCCCATGTCACATTTACCTCTAAGCCCTATACTGTCACCCTTTTTTCTCCCCCTCTAACCACACTGAGCGCCTACTGTCTTCCCCACATGCCAGCCCACCACGCATGATCTCACTTTAAGGTCTTTGTTCTGTAGCCTGTTCCTCCATGTAGAAGTTGTCTTCCTATATACCTGTTTAACCAACTCCCTCATCTCCTTCAAATTCTGATCAAACGGTCCCCTCTAATGAGGCCAACTTTGACCACCCCCAACATAGAGCTCCTGAACCTCCGTCTCTGCTTTTCCTTTTCCTCCAAAGCACTTATTCTAATACATCATATAACCTATTTACTCATTATGTTTATTGTTCATTATCTGTCTCTCTCCTCCTAGAATATAAACTCCATGAGGGCAAGGATTTTTTGTTTTGCTCACTAAAGTATCCCAAACATAGAGTATAGTGCCTGTCCGTGGTAGGCACTTTTTCTTCCTTCTTACTTTCTTTCCTCCTTTCCTTCCTTCCTTCTGTTCTTTGGAACTATTTGTTTATTTTGATAAATGAATGAACCACATTATTCTGAATTTTCATTCCATAAACTGATGGAAGCAAGTGTGAACCCACCTATAAAATGGAGTCCACAGATTTCATTTTAATATTGGTATGCACCTCAACACCCAATTTCAGTTAAATACCACTTACCTCAGTAAGTACTTGTTTGCCTATTTCCACACATGAAATCTAGGTTTGTTTAAAAATAAAGATAATTTTAATCAGGTAAGTGATTCCAAAAAATAGGGGTTTGTATGAATCATACAAACTAGGTTAAGAACTGATTTGGATAATTCACTACTACATTGCTAAGAAGGCTCCTGCCCATTGCATTCTATGCTTCTAGCATCCACTGTGACTTTCAGTCCCATTGTGGGAGATGGAAGTGGCATGAAATAGACCAAAATTGCTTTATATATGAGCTGTTTATTCCCCTCCTAGATTCTTAAATTGACTCCAGATACAAAATTGGCAGCAGATGTCACATATCTGACCCAAGAGTGATTCATAGAATTTCATCTGAGATAAAACATCCATTGACAAACAATCAAATAACACACTTGGGATCTAGTTGGAAAATAGCCGTAATGTTGGCAGTCATGTTTTGAAAAGTACATATGCCATGAGTATTGAAATCTATCTATTGACAAAATCCACTGTGTTACGGCCACCACTAATGGAGTCCTGGTGTGATGCTGTGGGTTAAAGCGTCAGACTGCAAAGTCATTTGAACTGCGAAGTTGGTGGTTCGAGCTCACCAGCTGCTCCTTGGAAACCCTATATAGGGTCTCTTTGGGTCAGAATTGATTCTATGGCACTTAACAACAAGAAGAGAGAATCTACACGATTAACAAGTAAAACTCCTCTCTGCTGCTTGTCGGGAGGATTTCAGTCACCTTTGTGCCAAGATTATTGATTTCGTTGCCATTGATTTTCCTGAGACTTTAGGAAACACTTTCCTCATGCCTCGGGTGGTGTATTCTCAACTTTTCTAATTCATATGCAGGATTTCATCAAACTAGAGAAAATGGTCTAAACATTTTAGACATAACAGAAGAAACATAACTGTTCATTTAAAATGTGTGCAAAAGTGTAAGAAAAATTCACTTCCTATGAGGGTCAGTCAAAAAACATTACTACTAGAATTCCAATTCATTCATGGATTTATTCCAAAGAAAACATGCTTAAATGTGTCTCTGTAACCAGTGCATACACAGGTTCTCTCAGTAATATACTTGTCTTTGTTTCGCTAAGGTGCCTTCAGAAAAATGATACTTTTTTGACATGGGAAAAAAAACAATTTGAGGTCAGGGTCAACATAAATACTTAACAAATCTAAGATGGACATCTTCCTAAATCATTGAAGCTTTGCAGTAACTTTACAGGAATGCTGCCCCTCACAGAACAACAGTTCTTATTAGATGGATCAAACACTTTAAGGAAGGTCAGGAAGACCTCAAAGATAAATTCAAGACAGAGAGGTCAGCTCAGAAGGTTATAGTGCCTGTTTTGGGAACTCCAAAGGGAATAATTGATAGATTTTTCCTCACAGGACACAGGGAAATCACGGGGACTTATCAGGAAGAAATTTTAAGAAAACTGTGTAAGTGAGAAAAAGGCCAGGAAAGCTGGAATGAGGAATTTTTTTCCATCATGACCATGTTGATTGTTCAAGAGTAGCAAGGACTGTCCTATGTGAATTTCATTGGGAAACCCTACTTTATCCACTTTCCAGTCTTGATCCTGTAATTTCTGATTACTTTTTGTTCCCCAAATTTAAAGAACATTTCAAAAGAACATAGCTTAAGTCCCTCAAAGATGCCCAAAGTGCCATTTTGACATGGTATAAATAGAAGAGTGCAGAATTCTTCAGGAAAGGTTTAGAGAGATAGAGACTATAAACCTTTTTGTTTAATAAATGTTTCTGTTATTTGGTAGTAGTGGTCTTTTACTTACCCTCCTAGGATAGCAGCTTCATTCAAAGGAAAGAGAATTTTAAATTTATATAGTTCACATCTCTCAAAATTATGTTCAAAAATGTCCTGACATTTTAATAAATATAAAGTGCAAAAAAAAACACCATTTTTGTTCTAGAAGCATTTCAAATGTTAGTTAAATAAACTAAAGAAAGCATAGAGAACACATTTTAAATTTCTCTCATTTTTAATATACTTTATATAGAGGAAATGTAAGTTGTTGTTTTTTTAATATGTAAACCTCTGTATTTTATTGCTTTCTACAGATACCACACACTCAGGTGAAATCGGCACCAAGAAAAAGGTGAAAAGACTGTTAAGCTTTCAAAGATACTTCCATGCTTCGAGGCTGCTTCGTGGAATTGTACCACAAGCCCCTCTCCACCTGCTGGATGAAGACTACCTGGGACAAGCCAGGGTGAGCTAGTTACACCTTTGTCTCCTCACAGCAGGACAGTGCCCAAGAGCGTGAACCCCAACCACCAGTCTGTGAATCCTAGTTGGTTGCAGGGGATTCTGTGACTCTGAGCCAGTTACTCACCAAGTCTGGAGTTCTGCCCCACAATATAAAACGAAGTTAGTAGAAATACCTACTCCTAGGGTTGGCACAAGGAACGCTGATGGTGCTGTGAGTTTGGCATTGGGCTGCTAACCCCAAGGTCAGTGGTTCAAACCCTCAGCAGGAGAAAGATGACATTGTCTGCTCCTCTAAAGATGTACAGTCTCAGAACCCTGCATATGGTTTGGCTTGGTCAGGGTCAATAAAAAGATAAATGGTTAAAACATGTTTATACTATGCTTAATATACTCATGCTTCGCACGTACTAGGGAAGCACAGTGGCTCTATAGGACAAGCACTGGACTCAAACCACAAGGTTGGCAGTTTGAGCCTAGCAGCCATACTACAAGAGAAAGATGAGGCTTTTCCCTCCCGCAAACATTTACAGCCTCAAAAACCCTATACAGGGTCTCTTTGAGTCGGGACTGACTCGATGGCACTCAACTACAACAAAGCACATGCTAACTATTTTCATTTTTATAAATGTGCAAAACACATTTGCACATGGTAGCATAGTGCTTATGAGTTGGGCTGCGAACCTCAAGGTCAGCAGTTCCAAACTACCAGCCATTCTGTGAGAGAAAGATGTGGCTTTCTGCTCCCATAAAGATTTACAGCCTTGGAAACCCTATGCAGGGTCGCTATGAATTGGAACCAACTCCTGCAGCACACCAACAACAACAACAGCACCTAAGAGTCTTGGTGTGGCACTGTAGGATCAACACTGGTCTACTAACCACAAGGTTGGTGATTCAAACCCACCAGTGGCTCCTTGGAAACCCTATCTAGGGTTGCTGTGAGTCAGAACCAACTCAAAAGTGCTTAACAACAGAAACAACAACACCTAGAAGTCCTGGTGTGGCACTGTAGGATAAGCACTGGACTATTAACCATGAGGTCAGTATTTCAAACCACCAAACCCTCGTGGAAACCCTGCACAGGGTCTCTATGAGACAGAACTAAGTTGACAGCACCTAACAACAGCAAAAACCCCTCTGCCTGCGATTAGGTGAATGTTTGGTTAGAGAAGCAAGACTCTCCCACCATTGCTTTGCCTTTGGGATTTTATGGTTTGGGGAAAATGTTCACCCAACCAAAACCTCAAAAATAGCTTGTGACCTCCTCATTTTCATGCAAGGTGAAGACCTTGGTAGTTTAGATATTCCAGGTTGGATATCCAAGTTTGGATATTGCCAAGGAGTTTGGCTATTCCAAATACCCAAAAGGAGTAGGACACAGGGAACCCATTCAGGGACAGAAAGAAGAGAGTGAGCTGGTCTTTTCGTGCATCAATAATTATGTGAAGAAAGAAAGGCACAGTTGCAGGAAATATAATGCGGTAGAACTTTGTATCTGACTGAAAGTTGTTAATGTTACGTGTCGTCGAGTCAGTTCTGACTCAAAGTGACCCTGTATAGGGTTTCTGAGGAGTGGCTGGTGAGTTTGAACCACCTATTCAAACCACCCTTGTGGTCCAGGGCTTATCTGATAGCACCACCTAATTCTAAGAATGGCATATGTTTTCAAGGAAACATGCACTGCATCACAAGGGTGGTTTGAACCTGAAATTTGGAAGTTCAAACTCACCAGCCGCTCCTCAGAAACCCTATACAGGGTCGCTATGAGTCGAAACCAACTTGACAGCATTTAACAGCAACAACAGCAGGGTGATAAGCCTGCACTGGGCAGGAGGGCTTTCAGTTACCCTGTATATTCTATTGCCCACTCTCCTGCCTTCTATCTGTTAGAGTGGTTAATTATGAATTTGGTCCACATTGAATAGATTAATGTGCTCAACAATCATTTTGACTTCATATCTTTTTTCTTTTAACATTTGGCTTCCTGAGCACTCTGTAGTTTGTGATGACTTTGCTGAACTATAATTTAACAGATACCTAACATGTGATGCAGTTCGAAACTACCAGCTGTTCCACGGGAGAAAGATGAGGCTTCCTGCTCCCGAAAAGATTTACAGCCTCAGAAACCCTGTACAGGGTCACTATGAGTCAGAACCAACTCCATGGCACATAACAACAACAACATGTGATGCTGTAGGCTAAGCACTGGATTGCTAACCACAAGGTTCCAAGTTCAAACCCATGAGCCACTCCTCAGAAATCCTATGCAGGTTGGAACTGACTCGATGACACTTAGCAACATTAACATGTTCATGCTTACTATGTGCCAACACCATGTCTGTATATTACCTATTTAATCCTCACAACTACCTTTTCAAGTGGAAAAGATTATAAAATGAATTTTTCAGATTAGCAAACTGTAGCACAGAAAATTTAAGGAACTTGCTCAAGATTCTACAGTTAGTAAAAGTTACGGCTGACTTTGGACCATGTGGTCTAATTCCATAGCTCAGACCCTTACAAACTGCTGCTACTAGTGAAGGCTAACATTTATTTTACTACAGCCGATTGTATGTAAAGAGTTGTTGTTGTTAAGTGCTGTCAAGTCAGTTCTGACTCATAGTGACCCTCTATAGGGTTTCTGAGGAGCAGCTGATGGGTTTGAACCACCGACCTTATGATTAGCAGTCCAGTGCTTATCCTACAATGCCACATCACATAGAGAGTAGTAAATTACTAATAAGTCACTATTTTCAACTTCTTGATTGTTGCATTCACTATGTCTCAAAGTAAATGGTTGCATCTCCAATATGATTCATTTGAGTGTTCTTGTCTGTTTACCTTTTTAGCATATGCTCTCCAAAGTGGGAATGTGGGATTTTGACATTTTCTTGTTTGATCGCTTGACAAATGGTAAGTTATCCACAGGAATTCTCTCCCTGAAGTGCACACAATAAAGTGGGATTCATTTCATGAAAAAGAATTTATTTTTAAACACTTTGTTGTTCTCTCTTCTTCATTCCCCTCTTTATTATGTCTAAAGTAAACTCAAGAAGGACTAGGGCACGGGAAAATTAATTCTGGTGAAGAGTGAAGACTGAACTTGGCCTTGGAAGCATAAGACAAGGTTAAAAAGGTTTCCAGAAAGGGACAGAAAACTTGGCAAATGGACTTGGGGAACTCAAGTAGAAATGGAGAGAGTGCTGACACGTTGTAGGGGTCCCAACCAAGGTCATGGAACAATCTGTGTATAAATTGCTGAATGGGAAACTAATTTGTTCTGTAAACTTTCACCTAAGTCACAATAAAATATTTTTTGGAAAGAAAAAAAAAGAACCCTTCTGAACTTAATGATCTGAAAGGAATTTTTTTTAAAACAACAGATTAGAGTCTTTTCTTGTAGAATGCTTTGGCCACATGTAAAAGTAGGAAGTTCATTGTTAGTTAAGGGAAAGTAGGAACACAAAAGCACAGCTGACCTGTCCTGAGTCTTGCAGGACAGGTTGTTGCTTCACGTTCATTAAGTGAGCTGAGCTACCCCATGACTGATGTTCATACACATCTGATATCATCAGAAGAGGGAGTGTAAAAGCTTTGGCTAAAATGGAAGGGAAAGGTAGACATTAGCACGAGTGTCTCTTCTTAAATGTTTGTGCCTATAGAGGCTTCCCTTAAGAAAATAATAAACTCTTAAACTCTTATTTTTATCTATACATTAAACAAATGCTGATAAATTTAGGAAGCCAGTGGAAGAGATCACACTTAATGCTTACCTTTCTATGTTCCACAGTCTACCTGACTTGTGCTTTGAGTCATTACAGATGGTTTTCTACCATTCTATTATCTGACAATTAATGTGTGTTTGATAAAGATGCAGTCTAAGAGCAAGAACCAAAGCTTTAGCTCATGGAAAGTGAATTAGGTCAGTAGGGATGAACTTCAAATTCTTGCCTTTCACTTTGCTCAAATCAAGTGGTAAATGAAATTAACTGTGAACCAAAAGAACTTGTTAAATGGTATTTGCAAAAAGATTGGGTCGTTATGATTCTCATGCAAATATAAAATGAATGCATGTCAAAGATTTTTTTACTTAACTCAATGATTTAGTAGTTCCAGTAAGATGCTGCAGCTGGTTCCGTGGACAATTCAGAGGACTCATATGAGCACTAAGAAGTGCTGGAGTGAATTGATAAGTAGCTGGAAAACACTGGGGGGTAGGAATCAGTTCTCCTTTCACCTGACTACATTTCTTTGTGTGTATATGGACAAGAACCTTCTGCACTGCTATCAATGATCTACAACTTAGGGAGTTGTGAAGTTGCTCAAAGACAATAAAAGTGGCAGAGACCCATAGAATCAGGTAACCTGGAAAAGTATCCTTACTCAGCACCGAGTTTTCCATTTGGAGACATTCAGTCATCTTTTTGGCCCATATCTAAGTTTTTATAAACGCTCTAATGCTTTTTAAATTCAAACATTCTTCTTAAATAAACAGCATTTCTTGAATGTTCCTAAGTTATTATAACTTGTGTTTGTATCTCTATATCAAAATATCTTATGGCTAAATGTTTATGTGGGCAATATTTCATGGGAAGAATAGGCTATGAGTATTAAATAATGGGATGGCTTACAATGTAAGAAATGACTTAAAGTGACTTAAGGCACATTTCAAATCATTGTTAGTTTGCATTTAATATATGTATGTATACGCATATACACACACAAATAAACATCAACTCCTCACTTGGGAGTCCTGATGACACACATGGGTAAGCACCGAACTGCTAACTGAAAGGTCAGAGATTCAACCCCCAGCCACTCCGCAGGAGAAAGGCGTGGCTGTCTGCTTTTGTAAGGATTTATAGCAGTTTTACTCTGCATAGTAGGTTATACGTTGGACTGCTAACCACAAGGTCAGCAGTTCAAATCCACGAGTCATGCCATTGGAAAAAGATGAGACTTTCTGCTCCCATACAGATTTACAGCTTCAGAAACCCAATACAGGGTGGCTCTGAGTTGGAATCAATTCAACAGCACATAGCAGCAGCAGAGGACGATTATGAGTTGGATTCAACTCAACGGCAATAGGTTTGCTCCTCACTTGTCAACAGTAGTAAAGAAATCGATCTGACTCTTGCACATTAACCATGTGTGGCAGTAGTAAATAACGAGGTGAAAAGCAAGAATAGCACTGCCTGTGATGTGTCAACTTGGCTGTATCTTGGTTCTTAAATTACATAATTACATCAGTATTATGTAATGATGTATCTGATGTTATGTTATGTAATGTTGTGGTAATCCTCCCTTTTTGCATAATGTTGATTTTCACATAGCGACCCAATCTTTGGAACCTGACCATATTGACAGACAAGTGAGGAGTAGCTGTCTCTCCCTGACACCTCAGTCCACAGATTCACTATAGCTCTTCAGTATAAGGGAGAATGTCTGAGCTAATTGTACTTTATATAAAAACGAGGAAACCTAGGGTCAGATGATAGTGGTAAGATTATCTGTATTTGAAACCCAAAAGGCAAAAGATCATCATATCTGAGCTATTTGAATCTTATTATTAATCTTGGTACCTTAATGGTGATGAAAATGAATTCATCCCAGTGACTGTTTTCCCACAGGAAACAGCTTGGTGACACTGCTGTGCCATCTCTTCAACAGCCATGGGCTCATTCACCACTTCAAGTTAGACATGGTGACCTTACACAGGTTTTTAGGTAAGTTCTTTGTTCCATATCCTTCCCTCCCTCCCATCAATCATTGCAGTCTATAATACTCTTTAATGTAACTAGAGCTACAGCCATAGCAAGGTTGATGAAGACCTCAAGTTAATCTTAAATGATCTCATCTTAATTTT